GGGCTCAGCATATAGTGACTAGTGGGCATGTAGTAAGTTACTGCTCCAGGGAAAGCAACCATAGCTACTCTAAGAAGAAACCTTCACTCTATGCCCTATTCAGCATGATAAAAGAATTTCTTAACACTCTTAATCAGGCCTTTTGGGGAAAACATTGACATGCATGATTGTCTTCCCTCTGATCTATAATCAAAGATGCTCTGTTCTTCAGTTGACTCACTGGCTTTCTAGAAGGGGGCTAAGGACAGAGATGTGGAGTAAATCGGCTTTTGCTTTCCTGATGCTATAGTTTCTCAAGTAGATGTGTTTTTTTTTTCTTTTTTTTTTTTTATTGGATGATTTATTTACATTTCCTATGTTGTCCCCTTACCCCATCCCCCACCACCCCCTCGGAACCCCCAATCCCCTCGCCCCTCCTCCTTCTTCTCTGTGGATGTAACCTCTATCTAAACCCCCCCACTCCCACCTCCCCACCCTCAAAATTCCCACCCCCTGGGGCATCCAGCCTTCATGAGGTCAAGGTTCTCTTCTTCCACCTATGCCCAGCAGGGCCCTCCACTTATGTGTTTTTAAAGCCACTAAACTATTAATTTTCAGTCTTTTTCTTTAGAATAGTTTTATTTTTAAGTTGCTACAATGTGATTTTTTTGTAGCTTAGAGAAATACTTTGAAAACAAAACAACGAAAGAATCTTTAGAAAAGTTTAATATGTGTTTAACCCAACCATTTTCTGAACGTTTTTATATAAGCAAGTTATAACATGCAGGGTACATTGGTGCTTCAAGCCTAAAAAGAAAACATCGAGAACGAGAACGGCCCAAACCCCAGCAGGCATCCAGGCCCAGAGCCTCCCCTTCACCTTGTTTCTTGCATTGATTTTTTTAAAACAAGTCTTCTCCTTGACCTAAAAACCTTGTTTTCCCTACTCTGCAACAAGGCAATTACATTGTCTGAATAATCAAATACATCCTAATGTGAATGAGACAAAGATCCCATTGCAGAAGAGTCATGACATCATGTGTATTCAAATGTCCTCTGCTTGGATTCTTTTTCACTGCAGTAACAGGACTGTCATTTGTACTGAAGCTACAAGTAGATTAAAATTTTATATTTTTTAGATACAAGGACACTGAATAAAAATCCAAAGTAGAATTTGATTTTCAAATTAATACCTTGTGGAATATACTTGAGATCTTGTTCATGTTTTCAAAGCTTACTAATATTTATAAATCTGTAATGAGAAGAGAGAATGTTCTATTGGAAGCACTTTTTAAAGTATCTAGAGACTGCTGTATTTTTTGCTCAACCTTTGCGAATGCTGTGTGTACCTAGTAGTCCCTCCACTTAAACACAAATCTGAAAAGCACTTTGTCCTCACCCTTCAATTTGGCATAGATGTCTTTATTCAGAAAAACAGTCTGATGAAAACAAATCTTTGTAAGAGCTTGATTTTGAAACACACATAAGGGAGTTAGGCCATTCTAAGTTTTTCCTAGAAGTACCTTATATGATTCACAGCTAGACACTCTATTTAATTTTTTTCCTTTTCTGTCAAGTAATTCTTACCAAAAAAAAAAAAAAGATTCCTTTTGACTTTCTTTTATGAAACTCCACAAATAGGGCAACGGCAGAAGTATCTGTGTTCACTCTGCTTCACTGTGGACACACAGCAGCAGCATCTGGGACTCTAGCCCTCAGACCAAGCTCAGAGTAGATTTAATTGTGTTTTGTCTTCTGATTCGGCCATTTTCCTTGTCCTTTATTTTTATTTTAATTCTGTGTGTGCACATGCATGTGTGTTTCATGAAGTGCGCTGGAGAGCAGAGGGCAGCATGGAAGAGTTGGTTTCCTCCTTCCGCCACTGGGTCTCAAGATCAAACTCAGGCCACTGTCAGGCTTGGAGGCCAGCACCTTTACCCACCAAGCCATCGGACAAACCTTCCTAGGCCATATTCTACTCTTATTCCAAATTGAACCAAATTGGGATGGCTAGCAGGAGAGATAGACAGTAGTATGGTGCATCACATACAATGCATTGTTAATGGCAGAAGCTACATGAAAGGCATAGAGTCTGCCATGGCTTTGATGTTGTTTGTAGCAGGTATTACTAATGGGAGATCATAGGTCACTAGGTTACTGTTCCAAGATGGATGTGCTGGTCTCCTGGTAAGTTCTAAACAAGAAAACCTGTTAGACAAGTCCGAGCATGGACCAGCAGGCTGGTTAAGCTAGGAAAGATGCTTGCTGCCAAGCCTGATGACCTAAGTTCTATCCCTGAGACCCACATCATAAAGTAAGAGAACTGACTCCCAAGCAAGTTATCTTCTGACCTCTTCACACATTCCATGGCATAAGCATACAGACACATACAACAAACCAATCAGTTAATAAATGAGTTAGTTGTTGCTTAAGAAGCCAGCCCAACCCTGATATCTGAGTCTGGAACATTCTGCCTCAGCCTCTATGTTCTTTTCTTCTGACATTTGCTGTGGTCCCTCACAACAGCAAGTACGTCGTGGTTGGACTCTGAGCCTCTAAAGTGATAAATGAACCACCTTTCCCTCATAAGTGAGCCTGTGCTGAGTATTTTGTTACAATAATGAAAACTAATGCAAAAATGTTCACTGCTAAATTGTTTCAGTTGTGCTGTGTGTTTGAAAGTTGTCATGATAAAGCTTGGGCACTTTTCATGAAGGGATATACTGCAAGAGTGGTTATTTATTGTATGTATAAATGTTTATAATTATGTTATTAGAGGGAAATGATTATTCTTTTAGAATAAAAAGCCACATTAAACTCTCCTCACAAATGATGTCACTAGATAGTCAAACTCTTAATGTTTAGATTTAAGTTAGACATGGTAAATAATCGAGAATGTGTAAAAATTCAGCTGGATGATTATGATCGTATTGTCAAGATAGAACACAGGTTATTGAAACCATGTTGTATGCGTAATCAGTGGAATTACTATGTACCATTAAACTCTATGCTTAGAGATAAATGCACTGACATTAAAAGATGTTTAGTGTGTGTGTGTGTCTGTGTGTGTGTGGTGTGTTGTGTGTGTGTGGTGTGT